CATACTATCATGATTAATTCTTGTTTAGGCTCATGCACACACTCACATTATTCTTTAAAAATGAGACTAAACTTAGTGCATAATGACATTTGGCCTAAAAGTACAAATGTGAAGATTTGAGGCAAATTAAGTGTCAATCGGTCGACCTACGTTGTCTGGTGACAGAGAATGCAAAATGCATCGGTCGACCGGTGATGCCTCAACCGGTCAACCGCTCCGGTCGACCGGTTCTGTTCAACAGACACTCAATAAGAATGTTGAACAGCATGAATTCAAATTTGTCTCAACCGGTCAACCGCTCCGGTCGACCGGTACTGGGTAAACGGGCAAAAATATGACCGTTGGCAAGAGAGGTCAAATAGAGAAAAGTCATTTTTCTCAAGAGTAGATTTTGTGAAAAACAGAGAACGAATTCAAAGCTTCAAAAATCAAAAAGAGAGTTCTCTATTGTGTCTACATAATCATCATCTTCTCTAAATCCTTAACTCTCTCACACATAATTGAGCCTACCTTGAATTATCTTGTGATAGTGTGAGTTCATCATCTCCTAGTGATTTCAAATTGTGTAAAACCATTGTTAGGAGAGTAAAACTAAGTGCTTCATTACTCATAATCATTACTTTGGTATTGGGTTACTTGGTTGGTCGATCTCCGTGGAAAATCAACATTGTGTAAGAGGTTAGACGAAGCCTCGGGTAGAAAGATTCGCCTTCTTGTAAGAGGAGTGATCGTGCCGGAAAGTCGATTGAATAGTGAAAGAGGTCGAGAGGCGGAATATCTCGGCGACAGTGGATGTAGGCAAATTTATTTGTCGAACCACTATAAATCTCGTTTGCATCTTTCTAACTCTATCTCTTTAATTTCTGCACTTTAAATTTGATTGCTGACATTGATTGGTTTAACTCGTCGTGATAAGTTTATTGAACTCTTTTTATGATATTAGATTGGTCCATCCTGTGTACATCAAGTGGTTGTGCTATTGCATTAACTTACATAATTTTCTGTACACCAAGTGTTTGATAAAAGTACCTTGTTCAATTAATTGTCTATATTTAGTTTTAATCTTCGAATAATCGTATAAACTCTCAAAAAATATTCAAAATCTAATTCACCCCCCTCTTGGGTAGCCTTATTCGGGACAACAAAATATAATAAGATATTATTATAATATTAAATATGATATATTATAATATATGTATATAATTATAATATATTATATTATATGTTATAAGATATAATATTAACTAGATTATAAATATTAATATTATAATATTTGATGGTATTGATGGAAAAGAAAATTAAAAGAGTTTGGAATGGGCATTCTTCTCATATGAGGAATGAATGATGATTCACTCATTTGATAGAAAAGTTATTCCATTTTGAATGGTCATTTCTTTTCTTAAAATCAACCAAACTTAAGAATGAAAGTTGATTTCTTTTCATTCCTTTCCATTCCCCCCAACCAAACACACCCTAAGGGTGCGTTTGGTTATAGTGGGGGAATGGTAACGGGAATGGTAATGAGAATGGTAATGGGAATGGAATGGAAAAGAAAATTGATTCATTTGTTTAGTTGTAATTTTAAGAATTCTCTAAAATGGAACATGAATATTTTCATGTTGACAAACTTACCATTGTGCTATAATAACACTAATATTTTATCTATCAATATAATAAATAAAATGTAATA